CTCCCAGGCTCTGCACCCTGGCGGTGCTGGGCAGCTACAGGGTCCCGTGCGTGCCTCCTGCTCACGCTGTCTCTCCTGTCCCAGCGGGAGGTAGAGATCCTCATGTTCCTCAGTGCCATTGTGATGATGAAGAACCGACGCTCCAGTGAGTTGGGGTCTGTGTTGTGGGGTGGGCACGGGGGGCTGTGGGGCTGCTTATGGGGCCTCCCCCAAGGACCTGGATGGGTTGGGATCTGGAAGACCAGATCTGACCCTCCCTCAGGATCCCCCTGGTCTTCTGGGGGTTCTGGCCCTGTCTTCTATCTCTCTCTCCCTTCCCCAGTCACTGTGGAGCAGCACATAGGGAACATCTTCATGTTCAGCAAAGTGGCAAATGCCATCCTCTTCTTCCGCCTCGACATCCGCATGGGCCTGCTCTACCTCACGCTCTGCATAGGTGAGACCTGCTGGGGGGGCGGAACCCATAGCAGTGGGGGCAGCAGTGGTGCCCCCTTGGCATGGCTCGGCCTGCCCTCAGCACCCGTTGTCCTTACCTGTCCCTCATGCCACCTGGCTGAAAGAGCCATAACTCCCTTTTGCTGTGGGGTTTGCCTGTGGCCTTCGTTGCTGGAGGAGGCTGCAGGTGTAAGGAGTCTCTGTGGGCTCAGGGGGCAGTGGTCGGTGAGGGAGGGTTCAGGAAGCACCTTGACGGGGAAGTCTGCCTGCCCTAGGGCTCGCTCTGCCTCGGGCTGTTCTGGGGAAGGAGGAGCCTCATCCCAAACCCAGCCTGGGCCTTCCAGGCACTGGGGCGGGGCTCAGGGGTGCTGTCGTTGCAGTGTTCCTGATGACCTGCAAGCCTCCCCTCTACATGGGCCCCGAGTACATCAAGTATTTCAGTGACAAGACCATAGATGTGAGTATCCCCTCCCCAGGGGGGTGCTGGGGGGCCCTGTCTGCTGTCCCCCACTGAGCCCCGTGCCCCTGTGGCAGGAGGAGCTGGACCGGGACAAGCGGGTAACCTGGATCGTTGAGTTCTTTGCCAACTGGTCCAGCGAGTGCCAGTCCTTCGCCCCCATCTTTGCTGACCTCTCTCTTAAGTGAGGGGCGCCTGCCGGGGGCCTCGGCAAGTCCCAGGGCCAGGGCTCGTGCCCAGCCCTGCGCCGGTGTGTCTTGCAGCTATGTGTCCCCATCCTTCCCAGGTACAACTGCTCGGGGCTGCACTTCGGGAAGGTGGATGTTGGCCGGTACACGGATGTCAGCACCAGGTCTGGGGGGAGATGGCCTGGGCAGCAGGGCCTGTGCTGAGGCAGAGTCCTTGAGAGGCCTGCCCCCCCTCCCTGCCCTTGCTCCAGCTGCTTGGGGGTCACCATCGGCCTCTCCCCC